CGGTCCGGGTACAGTGTGACGGCCCTGAGATGCGAGGGGGGTGGGAGACCAGGCCGACGGGGGTGCGAGGCGAGCCCGCGCTTGCAGTAAAATGCACTTTGGTGTCCCCCTTCCAAGCAAATAAACCAAACTGCCCTTGGGTTTAGAGGGGAGCTTTAAACTGTGACGCGAAGGTTACATGTATTCAAAGCAAAAAGAATTTAAGCATTATTTTTAGGCTGCTATTTGTTTTCTTTTTAATAATTTTATCTTTTTTTGTTTTTACAGCTCTGCTGTATTTCCTGCAGAGACTCTTAACCCGTAGCCTGCCCAGGGTATCTTTCTTTTCAGCCTTTTATTTCATTAATAGAATGAACCTGGGTTTGGGGGGTTCCTTGGCAATTTTGAAAACCAGATTAATTTTGCAAGATTCGGTCACTTCTTTAGCCCTGTTTTTATTTTTTGTCATGCAACTGGGATGCTTTTAAGACATGAGGGCCTGGAGATCTCTCCATGTAATTCCATTTTCTGTTAATGTACTAGCATAGAAAAAAATCACTAAGTTAAATCTATACTTGTTCTGTCTAATGCAATTGTGAAAAAGGGTGCAGATGAAGTAGTTGTAATTGACAGCAGAATGACTGAGACTGAAAGCACAGCATTTGAAATCTGATATTCTTTTAAACTAGCCAAAAGCAGAACTGATACGGCTCTAACATGGGGCTGTAAACAGTGTCCTGGTCTGGTTTCAGCCTGGCTACAGGGGAAACCCAAGTTCTTGTGGAAACTACAGAAGAGCAGCAGTTTAGACTCACCTTATCAAGAAAGCTGCTCTTAAGCCTTTCAGTTCTTCATGCTTCTGTAAAGACAGTGTAGACGACTTTGGCTCTGCCTTGAAATCGCTGTGATACAGTGCTCTGCCTCTTGTTTGGTTCCCCTTCCTGCTTGCCAAATGTAAATGGGCTGAGGAAAACTTCAATCCTTTCAACTTGACTTCTGGGTTGTGAAAAAGAACTAAAGAAACAAATAAAATACATTAAATTCTGAGTGCTGTGACAAGTATTGTGTGTGTGTTGCTAATATGTAAGCCACACAGCAGACTGCAGGTATTAGAAAGAGTTTTAAACAGACTTAATCCTGGCAAGTGCCTGTGCCACAGTCAGTCTTTAGGATTCCTGTTCCAGAACAGCAAATGGGAGCGTTAATAGCTTGTTCCTTTTCAGTATCTGATGACTTTGTAGCATGTGGCATTGCTAATGCAAGGTGCTTTTGATCCAGTGAAGTGGTTAGCTTTTTTCTTACTGTCTTTTGGTTCCTTGGCAGCTTATAGTATTGCTGGTATTCAGCCCCTTCTTCCATGCACAGGAAAATCCAGATATTAAACTCCCATGTTTTCCATCAGCCAGGTTGGTTTCCTGAATAAACTTCATGTGAAGTGTGACCTGTGGCTTTGTTCTGAACTGTTAACGGGTCATCAGGATTTGGATATGGTTCTGCACATCCTCTTCATGTGTGGTTCTGTTTACTTCTGTGCAAGAACGGGACTTTCTTGCCTTTCAATTCCAAATGAATTAACCTATAGTTTCTGCTCATGAAAGTGGAACGAGTTGGTGAACTTTAACAGAGCATGATCAATAAAGTGGCATTCTTTGTACTCTTGCTGTCTCCGTGTTGGCTGATTTGCTGCAGAGAGATTGACCCAAAGGCTTCATAGATGTCACTGTAAACGGTGTGACATTTTTGTGCTTGGACAGAGGAAAAAGCTTAGTCCTTTTGTGAATTCCAGACTAAGTTCTTTCCATAGCAATTTGATACTACTGTACTTTTAAGCTTATAAGTAAGTATGCCAGGGAGATTATATGAGTACAGAGTCACTGTGGAGCTTGGGAGCCTGCTTCCCCCTGAATCTTCAACCGTAGACTACAGTGCTGAAATGGAAAGGCACCTGAAAAGGCTTATTTTGCTTACAGACTTGTATGACTGATGTTGCTGTGCACTGTCCAGGGCCAATATGTGGGAAACTGATACTTGAAGATAGTTGAATGTCATAAGACTGAAAATCTTTCCTCTGCTTTAGGGAACAAGTGCAGAACAGGACAATCGCTTCAGCAACAAGCAGAAGAAGCTGTTGAAGCAGTTGAAATTTGCAGAATGCTTAGAAAAGAAGGTAAGTTGATTAGGATGAGGAGGGAAGACACATGAATCAAAGACAATTTCCAGTGGAGTAATTTGGAATCAGATGATACGTACAGGAATGTGAGGAATGTCTTCTCTAAAACCATACTGGAGGATATTTGGAGCATCCACTTGAGACTCAAAGCTACACGAGGAATATATACAGTCTAGCTAGAGTGCTGAATATGACCAGTAGGCTTGTATGTAAAATACAGCTTCAAAAGGCAAAAACTGATTCCTGAAAGAATTGCATTCGAAAGAATTAGGTAAAACTAAACTTGTTTCATTCATACTGTTCCAAAAAGGTAATCACATGGTTGTAGTTTCTAGGGATAAAGGGGTGAAT